GAAGTCCACAAATTCCGCAAATCCATGAATAGAAATGCACTCCTCGACTCCGAATACCTTTGATCAAACTTTATAGAAAATCATTATTTTCGTAAAACAACCTTCTAAGAAAAAAAAATCGAAATTAAGTTGTATTTGTCTCACACTTATCATTTAACCACTTAATTTCAAGTGAATTCAGTGTTAGTTGAAAAACTCAATACTTAATATTAGGTGCTAAGTAAGAAAACTTAACTTCATCTTACGTTAAGTTCAATGGCCCACCTCTAAGTAAGGGTTAGATATAGAAATAAGGGATTAAGGATAGGAATAAGGAGTCAGACATAGAATTAATCAACAGTAGTAGACGAATGATGTTATATGGACTGCTTTTAGCGGGATAGAACCATTGTTAGCAAGAGAAAAAAAGAAATTCCAGATAGAACCATAAAAGGTTCTGAAAATGGTATTCAAATCTAGAACCTTTAAAAGTCCAGTATGACACTTTTTTGTTTTTAGAGAATACAACATCAACAACTTCAACAACCACCACAACAGCAATACCAGGTATGTATTGTTTGCGTTTATTAGAATTGATTCTTTTTGGAACATTAATTTCTTCATAATAATATTCGATCTAAAAGTCTTTCACCCGTCGCATTATCTTTTTCGTATGCTACTAGCACAAAATATTTAGTACCATAAGAATTAAAGTCTTTTTATACTTTTCTAAACGATGACATATTTTGTCAAAAAATGCATAATGTTATCTCAAGAGATTTTGTTTGACAAATACAAAATTTCACTCGACTTATATAGAACATGGAAGAGTTCACAATAAATAGGAGACTTCATTTTCATCCGCTAGAACCTAATCAGTACCCCCCATTACTGTAAACCTTTTAGGATTGATGATACATATTTATCTCTTATCAAATGAATATAATAAACATTTACTGATAGGGTGGTCGACTACTGGGAATATGAATTATGGTCGATCTTATCACACAGCATCTGTGTTATCAAATGGACAAGTCTTAGTTGCTGGTGGATCTGGAAGTGGTGGTGTCCATTTAAATAGTGCTGAGTTGTATGATCCGTCAACAGGAGTATGGACAATCACTGTAAATATGAGTTATGCTCGATATTATCACACAGAATCCGTGCTTTCAAATGGACAAGTCTTAGTTGCTGGTGGACGTTATGGAGTTGTTGTTATAAATAGTGCTGAGTTGTATGATCCATCAACAAGAATGTGGACAAATACTGGAAATATGAGTTATACTCGATGTTGTCACACAGCATCCATGTTATCAAATGGACAAGTCTTAGTTGTTGGCGGATTAAGAAGTGGTTTAAGTTTAAATAATGCTGAGTTGTATGATCCATCAACGGGAATGTGGACAAGTACTGGAAACATGAGTTATGCTCGATATTATCACACAGCATCCGTGTTATCCAATGGACAAGTCTTAGTTGCTGGCGGATATAGAAATGGTTTAAATTTAAATAGTGCTGAGTTGTATGATCCATCAACGGGAGTGTGGGCAATTACTAGAAATATGAGTTATACTCGATATTATCATACAGCGTCCGTGTTATCAAATGGGCAAGTCTTAGTTGTCGGTGGGGCTGGAAGTGGTGGTGGTTATTTAAATAGTGCTGAGTTGTATGATCAATCAACAGGAGTGTGGACAATCAGTGGAAATATGAGTTATGCTCGATATTATCACACGGCATCCATGCTTTCAAATGGACAAGTCTTAGTTGCTGGTGGACGTTATGGAAGTGTACCTATGAATAGTGCTGAGTTGTATGATCCATCAACAAGAGTATGGACAATCACTTTTAGCATGAATTATAATCGATCTTATCACACAGCATCCGTACTAACAAACAGAAAAGTCTTAGTTACTGGTGGACTCATAAGTAACAGTTCAGAGTTGTACCAATTATAACAAACAAACGAATCACAAATACATTTTCTTGTCTTCGATGAATAATCTTGTTTACGAGAATTATTTAACAATATTATTATCGTTTTAGTTCACTAATGATTAACTTTTTCTTTTTTAATCTTTACAAACTTATTGTATCTTTAATAAAT